ATCCCGTCCGAATGGGTTTCTTAATAAAGGGATCTATGAACTACTTATAAAATGGCAAAATTCCATAGATAGCCATACCATTGTACATACTTTGATTAATTAAATATATTCTATATATTCTATTTAAAAAAAAAACAACTTTTTGTGCCTCCCATTCAAAACGCCAACTTCATAATTCATATGTAAGGACGGATATTCAACACGGCCAGTACGACAGTTTGCGATGTCCTCGGCCGTGCATATTACACAGCAATATTCTTCACAAACTATTTAAATCTGACGTCAGCATATCAGTGGGAGTGCCCACGACGTGCCTTCGGACAAGGGTCTCGTCGTTTAGATTTATGTAGAGCACATAAATTGCGTAAAGCGAGCAAATAAAGAAAAATCCTGGTATCAAAACGTGGCGTGTAACAAAACAGCGCTAAATTGAGTTTGGACTACGTGAGCCTGCCGCCGCTGGGGTGACCACGCCGGTCCCGTGTCGAAGCGATTTTACTAAGACAAGTTGTATCGAAATATTGTAATTTAATTAACAAAAGCAATTTCAAGAAGTATACTTATGATATATATTCAACTAGCAGACTTGGCCAAGCGTTGCTGTGGCTAAGGTTTTTGTCCCAGTCATGGGGACTACCATGCTTTTTTGGTGGTTATACCAATTGTAGCTTATGTGAAACGTTGGTACTTTCAATACAGCGCCATCTGTTAGAATTGTGACTGTCAAATAATTAACAAATAATTTGCAATAAAATTATATTGGGGGTATAAATTAAAATGTAAGGTATCCTATCTTTTAAGTTAGATCAAACTACAAATTTGATTGAAATCGGTTAAGTATTTAGTCCACAGCGGACAAACAACGTGATGCGTTATATATAAAGATATTAAGCATTATTATGGCAAGCATATATTATTGTTTTATACATAAACATACTTTTGAAAAGTAGTGTTTACTTTTTTCAGGTTAAATATAATATTATGAGGATAAAATATTATTTAGCTTTCAGCGTATCAACGTATGATATTTGGTAAATGCATGGTGAGTTTACGACGGCTGGGGAGGCGAATAGGCGAGGATCCCCTCAGGGACTCTATTAACAATCAGTCGATCTTGTCCTCGTCATGTCAATTGCTGTCTTCCCCTCCTCACCTGTCCCTCGCGACTGCACGACCATTCAATACATAATTATTTTTTATTTGTTTTGTATTCAAGAAATGTTACTATTTTCTCTGTCGCTGTAGAATGATAACCTCGTATGTCCAGAGAACCAGCCATTACAGGAAACGAAAAATGTTTCATTTCGTCAATGTTCGTTGAAATATTATTGTGTTTTCATGGTTTTAGATGGTAAAATTCAGTCCTTACTTCAAGATTAAACCAGTGAAATGACATAAGTCTAAGAATAAAAAATAAATGTTTTTTTGACATACGAGGTTATCATTCTACAGCGACGATAAGTGTATTAAGAAAACCGAAATAGTATTACAATGTTGTATACTTATATGATGACGTCTACTTGGGTGTATATACCTCAGTGAAAAAGAGTGTGAACAGTAGCAGTGACAGTGACATTTGGCGCGTCAAATTGCTGCGTTTGATCCTTTGTGGAGTTAAGACTATTAGCTCAATGGGATTATACGAACGCAGCAGCGCGGCGAGATGTGATTACCCCTACGACCACACGCCCCGATGGCGCACCCTTTACGCACACAATATTCACAGTTCGTAATAAAAATTCAAAGCTTAAAAGGAATTGCTCAAAAAGAACAAGTCTGCTGTTTGAACCTTAGGTAGATGAATGCACTGTATTACATACTGTAGAGAGAGATTAAACATTTCGTGCCGGCAAATAATTATTTTTATAGAAGTAATACTTCTTTAGGCGCATGAGGGTAAAATTTTTGCGGAACGTCACGAAGATGTGCAGCGTTTTTGTCGAAGAAAAGGGAGAAGTGATTGAGACCGATTGAGAGAGAGTGAGAAGGGTGAACTACCTATAGAAATTCTCTTTTTCAAATTAAAATTTCGTAAACAGAATTTATGAAAAATTAGTATTTTCTATTTTATGCAAAATAATTAATTGGAATCTCAAATGTTGAATTGTAAATTAAAATGCCACATGTTTTTATAATCGAAGAAATATATTAAAAAATTAAATTTATTATTTGTATCAATTTTCGACACTTAATATTTTCATGACAATTAAATTCATTAAATTCCTAACATATCTTCCTTTTTCCCTTCCTGTAAGTCTCGGAAATCTAAGATTTGTATAAATATGAACAAGACTTAAAAATTAGTTTGCTAAAGAAGTTTCAATTCTGACATGTGTACTTTGTACGCACGCACTTTTTTTATTTGGACCACAAAATTAGGACAAACACATGATATGAATTGACATACATACAAAAATATAAGCGGTGCCCTCCCTATAACATGTGGACACCAGCGAAATCAAGTAGATACAATAAACAGTGTTAATACAAACAACCATAAAATTAATTATAAATTAAGAGGTCACTAAAAGGTAGAATTAAAAAAAATCAGTGGCGCTACAACATTTTTAGGCCTCATATTTCTGAATCTGTTTCATGATCATCTGTCTTATAGATGATCAGCCTTATGAGCCTGACACACGTCATCGACTTTTTGGATCTAAGACATATCGGTTTCCTCACGATGTTTTCCTTCACCGTTCGAGCAAATGTTAAATGCGCACATAGAAAGAAAGTCCATTGGTGCACAGGCTATCGAACCTACGACATCAGGGATGATAGTCGCACGCTGAAGCCGCTAGGCCCACACTGCTCAAGGTAGATTTTTAACAATATATTTGAATGATATGCAAATCAAGCAATTAATGAACATCAGAAGCAGTTTATGTTTAAGTGAACTGTCTCTCGGGACTTGTTAATCGAACTACTCGTTTTCAATTGTGCTGTTATTGCCCTTAAATCCGTTTCCCCGGGGATCAAAGTGGGACACAATGTATCGGGGATCTAGAAACATGAGCAGCCGCAATAACAATATCTTTATTTAATAAATGACACGGAGAACTCGCGATTTCAATAACTCTTTAAAGCGTGCGTTATTTTACCAAAACTAATACTAATGTAGAGGTGTAATTATTGTCTATATAGAAATTTCGCAATTTCATTTGTAATATTGTCGACGTATCGTTATTATTGTAAAGACATCGAATTCTATTTCGGTTTTCATTTGGTGTACCTCAAACACTTAACTAAGTTACTGAAAGCAAATCCATCAAATTAAGGTTTTAGTATAATCACAGACACGAATATATAATACTAGCTGACCTGGCAAACGTCGTTTTGCCATGTATATTATTTCTAGGTAAAAAATTTTTAGTTCAATAAAAATAACTATCTACTATAATAAAAAATTTTGTATGCTGTATCATAAATAAATAAAAAAAAAATTTGTCTAAAAAAATAAAAAATTAGGGGTCCCCTTAACATTTCATGAAAAATAGATGTTGTCCGATTCTCAGACTTACTGAATATGTATGCATAAAAAATTTCATATGTATCGGTCGAGCCGTTTCGGAGGAGTATGGGAACGAACATTATGGCACGAGAATTATATATATATATTAGATATAATTTGAAACAACCTTCTTGATTTAAGGAATGGAGAAAAACATAATGATGCATTTAAAAGTTATAAGAATGTGCTGCTCAAATATAGGTATTTGATTCAGTGAAGCCAAAATCAACACATAATTCTGGTCTTAAATCTGATTTATTGGCGCGCACGATCGCCGCTCCCGTTTTTTCAATTAACTTCTACAATATCTTTGACTGGAAATATTCGAGCTAAGGAGGACTGAGGATTTTAATGACTTTTGTAGTTATAAATCAATTTCTTATTAGAGTGTTCGCCGCTTCGTACTCTGAAGACCATGGTTTTTGGACGCACGAGAAAAACGAAACGGAATAAAAGTCCAAAATAACTCCAAGTGGGGTTATTTTTTTACAAAATGACATATAGTATTAAAATAACAATACATAGACTACTTTGTCCTGTTTTGCTTAATTAGATACATATTTTAATTTGATTAGAGATAAAAAAGACAGTGTAATATATATATAAATTATAAAAAATAGTATTTAATAATGTTATTACTCATATTTGTGTTCTGTGCTGTCTTAAAACTAACAATCGAATTTCAACAATTTTTTTAGGTGCATATTCAAAATTAACTTATTATTTTCACCGATCAATCTCCTTCGTGCCTTCTCCATCTACACGACACTGGCGAACCTTGTGTCCAGTTGGCACAAATAAAAGCCATAAACAAGAATTGCATTGAATTGAAAAATAATGTTGCTTAGATAAACGGCAGGAAGTTTATATTTACTCCCTGAAAATGTTCAGTCGCAAACAAACAGCCATAAATATGAGAAGCCATATATCTGTCGTCAGCTAAACGCGTTGTTAACGGCGGATGACATAAATCGCGAAGTGCGCCAAGAGTGCCCTCCCCTCGCCGCCCTCCACGCCCATTCACAGTATACCAAAGTAGGTTCTGTCTCAAATGTTATTGGACCAAGATAGGACTTTTATAGGCTCACCATATACGTGACAACGGGCGCCACGATCGCTCACACGTCACGCTAAAGTTCTTTAGCGTGTGACGAGTAAACACTGACCTGCAACACCTCATTAGAAGCCTATTGATTGTGGTTTATCGTATTTAGTATATAACACGGTATGCTCATTAGCAGTGCATTGCGTTCAGTTTTGCATTTGAAGCACGTCCACTCTCTCATTATTGAATTCATTACGACAGCAAACAAATATGCCATTTGAAATGTAAATTATGTTACATCACTATTTCATAAAGAACAAATTTTTCAATTCTGCAAAATGTTCGCAGTAAATTATCTAAATCACAGAACATTTTAATTCCATACAAAAAGTACTATCTACAAATAAATTTAGCAGCAACGACAGTTACAATGTTAAATTTAGAATGTCACGAAAATTCAAATATTTATACACTATTCAGCTCCCTTCTCAATGGCATCAAAACTTTGATGATGGAGAACGTCTGGCATATCAGGCCACCGGCGGCGAGGGCCAGACCGATCAACGCCAAGGGATAAGCGGCAAAACTGTGACTGAATCCGCCCAACTGGTGGATCACCGCCACCAAGCACAATACACCTGCATTAAAATTCGCTATATTCCTTGTACCGAAACTTATCCAATACAGAAAAATAGAGACCTAGCGATCCAACATACAAAATTGATGGAGTTAACAAGAATTTAAGAAGAATAGAGCAGTGTTGGCCTAGTGGCTTCAGCGTGCTACTCACATACCTGAGGTTGTAGGTTCGAACCCCGGCTGTGCACCAATGGATTTTATTTCTATGTGCGCATTTAACATTTTCTCGAACGGTGAAGGAAAACATCGTGATGTCTTAGACCCAAAAAGTCGACGGCGTGTGTCAGGCACTGGAGGCTGATCACCTACTTGCCCATTAGATTTAAAAATGATCATGAAACAGATTCAGAAATCTGACGCCAGGACCTAAAGAGGTTGTAGCGCCACTGATTTTTTTTTCTTTTTAATAAGAATTTATTCAGCGTAAAAATATATAAAAATAACTAACCGATTCCAATTTCTATGTTTTCTGCTAATAATAGAATGCTGTAAAAAAATAACTTAAATGGTACCGTTGGTAGATAAGATATTTTTACATAAATGTTTTATTTTTAATACATAAAGTGATACATGTTAAAGTGTAGTGTTGTAACCAAATTTGGATGATGTATACATACAAAACTACTGATGTTTAATACAGTGCTTTATTAAAGGACAACAAATAATCAGCAGCATGGCATGGAAATCGGTTTTATCAAAGGACAAGCGGGCAAACGGGCAGGCTTCACTCGATGTTCGGACTACTAAAATTCCATTTGGCTCTTTCACTCACTCACTCTTGGGTAACCAAGAATATTATAATTTATGAAATACAAGGAATAAAAGCGAAGACGTCATTATAATATAGTGATTAAGAAGGAGGCTGCAATATACATACTTCAGACGTTGCTGTGAAAACTGTGGCATCAGTCCTTTTAAACGTTGAAAAATCTCCGCGGGAATAAAACCAAAAATGTTCTATTCCGTAATTAATTTCATACTAATTCAAGTCTTCAAAATATCAACTGTGACGTTTAGATTTTCTATCATTTCTGATATTAACTCAAACCACAGATTATTATTTAATATTAACTAAAAACTTTAAAGTTAATTAAAACTAGTTTCACATTTATTCATTCATTCGTATAAAAAACAATAATGGTTTGAATGTACCATACCCGGGACTGGTAGATAAAAGACTTTAATAAATCATAATATATATTTATTGATATGATTAATTGCCACGGACTGTAAGAAAATATAATGTCACACTTATTAGATTCAGGCGTCGTACTTCGTTCGGTAAATATTGGGCGAGAGGAAAATTGTAAAGTTAGTGAATTCGTTACTGGTAAGCGTAACGAACTGTTTGCAGCGCACGGGGGCAGGTAATCTAATCTGCAGGCCCCCCTCGCACTCCGCCACCCGCTGCCCTCTCCGCTCCGAAAGCCTCCCTCGCCAAAGCGTCTTTACCGATGTTTATTTCGGTATCAGGATCGGACCGAACGTGCCTTGAATGAAAACCTGATTGCAATCAATTATACTGAATGAAGTTTATTCGGTTTTTGCAAGCATCTGACTCGGCGCGTCCGGCTTAAGTAGCACTTTGCAAAACAAAAGATCACAACACTTCAAGTTAGATCGGTGACATTTTTTTAGATTATTGATTAAGGTGAGATTGTAAATCTTAGAAATTATGAATTAACTCGCAACCATGGGACCTATGACCGGTGTATTTCAGTTGGTAAAGCGGCAAAGGGTTGTATAACAAGTTAGGCATGTACGGTATATCGAGCGGAGAGCTAATCACGCGTTGTGTTGATGAAATGTAAATACCAAAGCAAAACGTAGCGTCATTATACGAATTTATTCAAAGTGATAACCTCAGGCAAGGCTATCATTTGTTCGCGTAATGATCAAAGGCGTACAATCAGTGGCTGCGAATTGCAATTTTCGCTCATTCTATTCACGATTCACTCATTCGTCGATAGAATGAGTTGCGTGAGAGCGATTTGTTGACACGCGACTTCGCACCTCGCTGCCCACCAATAGCCAACACAACAGGGTTACACGGGGCGCCGTACGGAGAACTTTGCCTCTTAGTGCGTGCCATTAAGAGCTAATGAGGACGAATACGCATTATAAGCGTTTAATGTGCTTACGCCACAATTATCGTAAGGATACTTATATCCTAAAACGCACTGCGTCACGCTTTAGAATAAGATTTATTTGGGTGCAACGCGCCCGTGGTAAATAAAGGGCTGTTCGAGAGAGATAATTCTATCCTAACCTAATAGTAAAGAGCAGAGCAGTGTTGGCCTAGCGTGCGACTTTCATCACTGAGGTCGTAGGTTCGAATCCCGGCTGTGCACCAATGGACTTTCTTTCTATGTGCGCATTTAACATTCGCTCGAACGGCGAAGGAAAACATCGTCAGGAAACCGACATGTCTTAGACCCAAAAAGTCGACGGCGTGTGTCAGGCATTGGAGGCTGATCACCTACTTGCCGATTAGATTGAAAAATGATCGTGAAACAGATTCAGAAATCTAAGGCCCAGACCTAAAGAGTTTTTTCGTTACTATATTTTATTTTACTTTATTATTATAGTTAATTACTTAAAGATGTCATGTGGAACATGGTGGAATGGTTACTAACATTTTGTAAAACAATGGCAATTAAAAAGAGTGGCGGAGAGTTGATTGCCAGTTCTTCTCGTCCGTTCTATTCGAACGCCCTTGATTTGAGAACTGGCTATAAATCTAAAATTAGAAGCATTTGATATGTATTTCTGTATTGTTGCTCATAATTGTACATTGTGTTACCTAAATGAATAAATGATTTTGAATTTAAATTTATAATTTGAGTAAAAAACTATCAATCCACTTAAAAGAAATTGTTAAATTTAAATTAATGATATATGACCAACGCCTATTTAGCACATATTGGGAAGGAAATGAGTATTATTAGGCCCTAATAACAAGCAATTGGTGTACCGGTAACTGTGAACACGTAAAAGTCTATACGGCTAGGTATGTCATAAACAAGACGCGATAAGTCAAGCCGGACCCCTGCTCATTTGTGCAATTCATCAGTTGTATAATTCGGATGATTCGTTTAAAGAAAGCCGTGTGAGGGCTTGTATGATGTGTGGGGTGTGTCTGTGTGGGGTGCCGGGGAAGCTGCGGAGAGCGGGGGTGCGTATTTATCGAATTAGGCCTGTAATCACTGCTCACTGTGTTTTTCACTATACCGCACTGCGATCCGATTGATACTTGAAACGCTTATTACACAAAATTTGTGTAACAAGGAAATAGCCGTAGAATAGTGACGGATCTGACAAATAGTAAACTTTACAGGGCAGCCATTTCAAAATTATATAATCATGTTAGTTTCTGTCATAACTATTTTAATTCATATTCTGTTATTATGAAAATTGGCATACTAGCAAACAAAAGGGTTTGTTTTGAAACGAAATAAAAATAATAACATTAAAGTACACAGTTTTATAGAAAAATCATATGTTTCTATCAAATCCGTCACTTTACCGATTAATTTGAAATTTAAGACACATGGATTTTTTTTAAATGTAGCCTTATATTTAGTCAATGTAGTATTCAAATATGATGAAAAGTGGATTTAGGATTTTTTTCAAATCCGACATTGTTCTACAATCATGACGAAATGTTCTACGAAAACCAATCTTCTTTCTTCAATTTTCTTTGTCTGTGTTGGGTTCGAGTGCAAGATCACTTACGCAAAAAATTCTTCTTAAAATCTGTTTTGAAATATACCTAGATCAAATTTTATCCATCTCTGCGTTTCCTTACTATAAAAGTATTAGATAGAAATAAAAGTATACTTTGATCTAACAGACCAGACAGGACTTATAGACTTTTTATAATACTAGTTTTAATGACACAAGTATCAAGATATTTAGCTATAGTAGCGGGCAGTGTGAGACGTGCATCATTATCAGCAAATAGATTTTATCGAGGTTTAGTTGATCGGTGAAATGCTGTTGTCGTCTGGTTAAACATAAGTATTATGATAGTTATGCGATTCTATATAAATATAATATTATATGTTACTAGCTGTCCCTGCTAACGTTTGTTTTGCCATGTATATTCTTTCTAGGAAACATTTTTTTAGTTAAATAAATATAATTATCTGCTGCTGCTGTTTCAAAAAATCTAAAAAATAAAAAAAAATGGGGAGGACATCCCTTATCACATAGGGGTTTGAAAGATACATAGTAGCCGATTCTCAGACTTACTAAATATGCATAAAAAATTCATATGAATCCAGCCGTTTCGGAGGAGTATGGGAACGAATATTGTGACACGAGAATTTTATATATTACATTATTGTTATATTTATCATAACATATTTATTTTACTCAAACTAAGGATAGAGTAAATGAGTCTTTTAATAGTCAATAAGTGGAGCGTGTAAACAATAACAGCATCAACAATTTCGTTGTTTAAAACAATTTTTGTTTCAGCTCATATAATCCTGTCAAATTTATTTCAGTTTAGCCACTTGCCTTGTGTCGAGTGCTTAATTTTGTCGACATTCCTAGGACAACAAAATTGTTGACAACGAGTTGAAACATACAACAAGAGATATTTCTTTTTGTGAAAGTGTAGTCGACACTTTAAATTGTTTATCATTTTATTGGGTGTATTAATCGTAATCTCCAGCCAAATAAGAGATGGATTGTAGAAGAAAGTTTTAAGTTGTATCAATCTACTTATTATGTACGTAATATGCCAATGTAGGGGATTCCGAAAGTTTTCGGGGACATAAGGAATTTTTTCTCAAAGATAAATACGCGGGGGCGTGGTGGCGTCTGCTTCTCCGAGTAAATACACGAAATCCCTTTTTGCTTTGATGTTACATAATTCAGTTTTGGCACTTACCAATATTTTCTATATACGACAATAACTTAATGAAATAAAACTTACTTTTTTAAGGAAATAGCGAAAAGGTTAGTCGACATCACAAGAGACCGAATAGCTGGCAGCTACCTCGTACAAAGAATTAGTCTAGCTATTCAAAGGGGGAACGCTGCCAGTATCTTCGGAACCTTCCCTAAAGGGACTCCTTTTAATAATATATTTTAGT